AGAGCTTCGGGCGGGAAGGCCACGTTGGTGCAGAAGAGGCCGAGCAGCAGCTGGCGCTGGCACTCCTCCCATTTGGCCAGCGCGTCCCCCAGCGACAGGTTGTTGCGCATCCAGCCGGGCAGTGCCTCGCTGTAGGTGGCGCAGGACAGCGGCACGGAGGGCAACGACTGGACGCGGCGCAGCTCCACCTGCTCCGGCAGCCTGCGGGGCAGGGACATGTTAGGGAGGGCTTCAGCTCCCGGCACTAGCACCGCGGGCCCCGGGTGGACACGCGGTCGGCGGCTCACCTGGAGGACAGGTGCCTGCCCAGCTTCCTCTTGGCGCGCATCACCAGGTACTGGCAGATGCTGCCCGTCTGCTCCTTCATCCACCGGATGTCCTCGGGAACGTCGGGCAGCCACTCCAGCAAGCTGGGGACAGGGCAAGCAGCGCGTTTAGGGGCTCGCATGCCCACCCGCCGGGCCCTGTCTGTGCCCTGACTCGGTACTGCCCACCCCACCCCACCTTCCCTGGTGACCATCACTCGCGGATGATCCCAAAGTCCGTCCCCAGGGCCCCTCTCCCGACCCCCCGGCCCCCACACCGGATGGTGAAGGACAGAGCGCTCTCCAGCGGCAGCGTGTAGGGCACCATCATTGCAGTGGCCAGACGCACGGGCAGCATGTTGGAGAGGGTGGTCAGCAGGTCTGTGGGCTCCATGCAGGCCTCCAGCAGGGCTGCGGGTAGGCGGGAGGTCAGCGGCCAGTGGAGGCAGAGGAGCCCAGGACCCCCTAGATTTCCCTCCCCGGCTCACCATCCTCTCTCTCTCTTCCCCTCCTGACTCCCCTCCTCCCCTCCAGTCCCCGAGGTGCGCACCCTCATTGAGTCGGACGGGCAGGTGCTCCAGGATGTGATCTTCCCTGGGCGGCTGTGAGTGGTCCACCGCTTGGCCACTCTCCATGGCCTCGTCCTCGTCCTCTGGGCCGTGGGGGCAGGCGGGAGGCAACGCCAGCAAGGGGTTGGGTCGGTTCAGAAGGCCTGGGGTGGGGGCGAGGAGGGATTCCCAGTTCGTCAGGCCTGCAGGGTGCAGCAGAGCCGAGCCCACCCCGCCCTGTCCCGCCGGGGTCCACGCACCGTTCCGCTGCAGGAAGCGCAGGCCGTCCCGGTAGCCCTGCTTGCACATCTCTCGCAGCACCTGTGGTGAGGAGGGTTAAACGGAGTGGAGGGAGCCAGGGATGCCTGTTCTGCCCCTGGAGTCCCTGGCGCCCCTGAGGGCCACCTCCCTTCACCACC